ATATATATATATATTACTTCTTTCAATCCAATTTCTTTCTTTTATACTTCTCTCTTTATACAAACAAAGCATTATTGAGTATCAAAAATATTTCTTCTTCATACATCCACTCCAACTCCATTAAAAAAAATTTAATTTTAAAAAAATACAAAAAAAATCAAATATAGGTTAACACATGTGATTAAATTTAAGAACTCTCACATGTTATCTTAATTGTTGTCTAACTAATATAGGTTGACGCATGTGATTAAAGACCTGAATTGAACATTCACCTTTTTAATAGGTGTGAGTTCAAATTTCTCCACCTTCACTTTTCTTGTTTGGTGGACAACTCTTTCCATGAAGATTCTTTCGCTATAATTGTTTGTTCTTTGAATTTATATAATAATTTTTTAAATAAGTGTCAGACAATCTAGCATGCCGTTTTGCCATTAACATATAGTGTCTTCCCATTTACCATATATATTTTTTAAACTATAGTCAAAACACACATACAAATAATGCAAAATCCCTTCTAAAGAGTTAGTGAGAAAGAAGGGGTAATTCAGTTATTCACACTATTATTTCCACATGTCCGTTTACTTGTTTACACTGGGTTTTGCTCATGAAAATTTGTAAATTGGATTTGGAGGAGACTTGAGTAGGTGACGCCTTTCATCGGACGAATTAAAGGGGATGATGCATGCTCAATCGAGTATTAAAATATCTTTCACATGTACACCATCTTTTTTATTTCTTGTTTCATTCTTTTACCGTATATACCCTATTAGAATCACAGTACCTTACATGTATAGTTATTTTTCCAAATTATTTTTTTAATTAAAATTAAAAAAAACTGTTACATTAAAAACTATTACTGTCAAGGAAGTAAAACACTACAATTTTTTTTACGGGCTAAATAAAATTAAACAACCATTAAACCCCCGCTTTGAAGTATTTCTACTTAAAGTTTGTCTTTATTTTTTTCTTCTTTATTTGTTTCTATTTTATTTCTTTTATTTTCCAAAACATAGTGTTATAAACTGGTTGAGATTTTTCATGAGGCAGACCCTTGCACTAAAATTGTCATTCACTTTTTTGAAGGTTCCGTCAGTTACTATTTCTTTAATACTTTGTTTAATTAGGTTGAGGTGATATATTTAGGAAAGATTGAAATAAAGAAGACACAAATATGGAATAGAGTATGCAGATTAATATCAAATTCAATACTTTGAACGAAGAAAGTACCACAGAACAATTACATCAACTTCAAAAGCAAAATGACACCCGCCATTTTGACGTAATGAATATCCACAAACTGCCTTATTCACAATGACTCAACCAAATATAACTGAAGAAAAAAAACCCAACAGAATGTTCAAGACTTCTCATGCCTTTGAAGGATATTCAAGCGACACATGATTTCAAAGAGGTCCAGGAAAAGTCCCACTTTCCCTCTGTTCATTCCATCTGTCAACCTGTCACAATTTAGTCCACACAAAATTTAAAATAGAGAAATGCTAATCCATCCTATGGAAATTACTGAATCAATAATAATAATAATAATAATATAATCTGTCGTTGTGGTTTGATACTTTGACTTCATGATAATGCTGTATTGCAAAATGGTTGGCATATCTTTCTGTGGTAACTAACAACCTTCATGTGGCTTGGCACCAATCTTTCAAATTTTGTGACAAAATTAGATATATAACTTGCTTTATGCACGGGTGGGGAAAATATATAAGTAATTCGAGGAATGTCCAGAGATTAATTAGAAGGGAAGGCATTTTGATGATTAAACAGTGTATGCCACGCAAACTCACTTTCCTAACTCCCAACAAAAAAAACAAACACCTACATACACAAATAAATGGCATAGACTTTAGGTAAATATAGGCTCGGAAGACTGATATATGAAAGTATTGGCAAATATATCAAATACAAAAAAATCACTCAATCAATTTCACTAATTCAAATTATGTAACTAGAACCTTGCCAGTGCAAGTACTTAAACTTAGTTTCAAGCTACCATGTTCTTAATAGTTATCAATTTCGGATGGTGGCACATAGTGGCCAGATCTGAAAATGTTATAGCATGATAGCCACTACTTTTAACATTAAAATACAGACTAAATAAATTACCCAACTCATATAAATACTAAAATTAAAAAGAAATCAAACTTAACAAAATTCAAGATAAAAAATGTCATAGTTTACATACACAATCACCATCAATCTAGGAGCAATAAGAACATAGAAATGAAGTCAAAAAATGAAAGATGATGGTGAAATTAATAGGAAAAGAACATAACAAATGACAGAACACAGGAAAAAAAAAATCTAGTGTGTGAAGAACAGAGATCAACATAGAGGTAACTTTTTGTCGAATGGTCAAGGAGGAAGGGTTTCAAATCCTATTATGTTTCTGAAGAAAAAGATGCATCAGAAAAATGGGGAGACAACAGAATTCACCCAAAAATAAACATTGCTTTAGCAGTAAAAATGGGTTTTGGAATCCTATATTATGGTAGCTGCACTATAGCATGTGAAAAGCCACTACTGCAGCAACAATGGCTGCCGTTGAAAACAGCTTCACTATTTGAATCTCATAGCAACCCAGGACCACTGCTCTGCTACTCCACTACAATATGCTACCACAATGGACTAGTTTGTTTAAAATTAAAAAATGTGATTATAAAAAAAGTGATTTTTTATGTTGATAGGAGTTGATTATTAAAAAAAAAAATAGTTTAGACAAACACATCAAAAAAGTAGAAAATTGCTTATTTTATTAAAAAATAAGATTTCTTTAAACTCTTTTTAAAACGAACAGTCCCAATATAGGCTTCCTTGAAAATAGATGTGTGATAATGAAAAGAAAGAAAATCTTAATGCTATCACTAGTCAACATCAAACAAAAATATAAATCAATTTGTTGATAAAGAAAACAGTCTAATATGCTATAGCCCAAAAACTAGACTTCGACCCTATTTGGATAAATTTATGCACAGGTACTTCAAATTCAACAATAAAACAAGAAAATATCTCCCAAAGCTGCTTTCATTTTTTATTTTGCACAGCTTTCCCTATGCATACATCTAATCCTAAATTACTTCCCAAAGAAAAACTCTAAGAAAAAAAATTATTCAATTAATGAACCCCGAATCTTGACTCTTACTACATGAGCACTTCAAAATCATACAGATATTGATTATTGAATACTAATAGGAGAAAATAACATTTAGGAAAAATAAAATAAGCTTCTCCCATAAACTAAAATTAGTTTCGCGCACAAGATAAAATTAACTTACTGGAGAAACTAAAATCAATTTAACTAATGGGAAAAACTTATTTCATCTTTCATTCTTATTTTCTACTCCTATAAGTGCTTATTGAGAAGCTTAATCCAAACAGGACATACAGAAGATATACTTATGTACTCAAGAAAACCCTTGCTATGGAAAAAGACCAGGGGGAGGTTCTTTGAAAAGAAAAATCAACACATATACAAGATGCATATAGTCCCCTCAAAGCTCACTATTTAAAGCAAGGATGCAGGAGGATGGCTCATGCAATGACTATACAGTATATACTAAGGAGTCACCTAAGTATACTTTTTTCCTTTGCCCTTGCACATTCAGAAATGCCTTATGTCTGAAATAAAGTAAACCATCAAATAAGCATGATTTACATTCATCATATCTGAAATGCACGTATGTGTTCATCATTATATGTGATTTTTCAGAGTTCAGAATCAGAATGAATCAATTAGTTTTGTAGACTGTGTCTCAGACCTCCAGATTTGACTTCCTCTAAAGCAAGAAAATATGCAAAGTTAGAAAGGAAATATCCACACTTGATCTGGATTAAGGTGGATACACTCTTGCTTTCGTACTTTACACACCCTCTTTTTATGTGATTGTTCAGACTTCAGAATCAGAATGCATTAAATTAGTTTTTGAAGACTGTGCCTCGAACCTCCATAATTGACTCCTATAAAGCAAGAAAATATGTAAAGTGAAAAGGGAAAATCCACCATTGATTTGGATTAGGGTGGATACACTCTTACTTTACCCACCCTCTCACTTTAGACACCAAAATCCCAAACTTCCAAGCATGCGAACTACAAAATGCCTATCTAAAAAGGGTCTCATATCCTTATCTCTTGGCAGTCTTCACACACACATAGTAATTTAGGGAAACAGAGAATCTAAAGTGTGATGATTTTTTATTAGAAAACAACTCTGCCAACATGATGTATACTAGCTTGTAAAAACATTGATTAGCGATGCTGCAAATAAGTAGAGGAGAATCCACATCCAAATGCAGTTCAAATGGAGACTACACATGGGCACTGGGAATTCAATGATTCCTATCGACAAACAAAAAAAGAAACTCTCTAGTTCCTACCTGTTTAAAACTTGCTGGTGTTGAGGATTCAATTTCATGAACTATTGACCACAAATCACATTAACTTTGGCTAAGACATCAAGTATTACATTAAAGTACATATGCAGTCAGTTCAAAGTAAACCAATAAGATAAGGGTTGCTTACCCATTCACCAGGGCAAAGGGAGCGGTAATATTTAGCAAATTTGTCACATTCACCTGAGTTTTCACCCTTTGCTGACAAGCATCTGTAATTGAAATCAATATTAAGCAAAAGATTACACAGAACATTTTCACATAACCAGATAACCAATGTCAGGAAATGCACCTATGAAACTCAATGTAGCGAGTGAAACAATGCCTGGTTTGATTTGTTGTAGGAAAACGAAAATCAGCAGGAGCTGTTTTTAGTTCAATCTAGCAGAAAGCAAAAAAATATTATGTTAGGGAGAGAAAAAAGACTACGGATTACAGAAGATTGGATGATAAGAAACCAGTTGTATCAAAACTCAAATTCAAAAGTACAGAAGATAGCTAGACTAGAGGGTAATTTAATATCAGGCCTCGAGTTTCAAGCAATGAAGATAAGCATGCCTTAAATATCCTCAACTCATGAATGAAGAATAACTTGTACAGATGTCAACATAGACCAAAACACATTTTGAATCAGAAAATTGAGTAGATTGCATTATTGGGAGGGGGGGGGGGTCAATACTGACATTTACAGTAAAACCAGCTTTAGACAGTTGACTCAAAATGAAAGGATCAGAATCTGAAAAAATAATGCGGTTGAATTGCCACATGGCCTTTGGATGTGACGACTAAGATATAAGCAAAATGCAATCATAAGTAAAAAATTAGTGCTACAAAAGCAAACAATCTTCTTGGAACCAAAATTCAAAAATATTCTCAAAGGAAGCAGACACATACCAATTTATTTATAAGAAGCAACCATAATTATAAAACTATGGCTAAGTTAATTTGTAGGACCTTGAACATTTTGGGATCCTCAAATAGGTGTCTCTATCGCAACTGGGTCCCTATTGTTTCAAAACTTTCTAGTTGAGTCCCTATAGTTTTATGAATGTATAATTGGATGGATCCCTGCTCCTGCCATTAGAAGCCGAGTTGATGAACCCAATTAATCTTTATGAAAAATATAGATTTCAAAAGTTTGCAACTGGATCCTATAGTTTTAAAATTTTAAAAAGTTATCATTTAAAAGACGTATTTAAACATGAAAACGGGGCTAAATATTTACATATTAGTTTAACCCAAGACTATATAATAAAAAAAAGGCACCCCTAAAATCTCTCTTTTTCCTTCTACAATCTCAATCATTGGCTAAAACAGTAACCACAAATTTGAATGGTTGAACCCGATGAGAACATTAACTAGCAAGCTCCCTAATCTATAAAATCCGAAATGCAACACTTTTCACGTAAGGGGGAAAAGCAATTCACTACCTAACTAGCTGTAAGGAGAAATAGGCAGTGGTAAGATGATTCGATAGATCGGAAAGAGAATATAATAACAGATGAATAAGCAAAATCTCAAAAATATAACAAATCGGAATCTGGAATGGCGAAATAAGACAATGAAAGAGGAAATTAATTGAAAGAAATCATAGAGCTGTCATTCAGGGATGAGAATCAAAGTCGAAGAACATGGAAATTGGAAACTTACCTCCGCCATGAGTTAGAATCGATCAACGAATGAAATGCAATAAAAGCGCAACTTAATAAATAAATAAATAAGTAGTAAGTAGTAACGAGTGGGTCACATGGGCCTCAGAATAGGCCCAATAGGAATTTGATTAATGGGCCTCACATTTTGTTGCCATTAGCATTTCTGCTAGTTTTTTTTTTCTTCATAAAAATATCCTTTCAGAAATTTTGGCATTTTTATAATCTATATTTTTTCAGAAAGATTAATTGGGTCCGAATTCAAACTCAGCTTCTAATGGCAGGAGCAGGGATCCAATTATCCATTCTCGACTAGAAAGTTTTGAAAAAATAAGGACCCAGTTGCGATAGAGACACATATTTGAGCATCCCAAAATGTTGAAGGACCTAATAATTAATTTAGCCATAGTTTTATAATTATGGTTGCCTTACCCGAGTGCCTTCTGCTTCTACGATATATTTTGAAAAAAGCAAAACTAACTGTTGTCTAAAGTCTAAACACACAATGACAGAAATAGTTAAAATCCCTTCTAACCGATTTAGTGAGAAAGAAGGGGTAGTTGAGTAATTGACACCACTATTTCCACATGTATGTTAGCTTTTGTTTAGACAGGGTTTTGGTGATGAAAATTTGGAAATGGGAGGAGAGTTGAGTAGGTGACGCCTTTCATCGGGTGAGTTAAAAGGGGATGATGCATGCTGCGCCCATTCTCTTCATCGACGTCGTTCTTTACGCCAAATAAACACCTCTCTGCTTCCAAATCCGTAACCCTTTTCTCTCTCTTATTCCACTTCTCCTTCATCCATCCCCGCCGATTTTTTATTTTTTTTTTCATTTCAATTAAATATTGCTGAATTTTCTTTTTGCATCATTAACTTTTTCCTTGGATTTTATTTTTTCTATTTCAATTTTGCAATGAAATTTTAGTCTCTTCGTTGCTCGGGACACAAATAGACTATTATTGGATTCGGGCATTCCCTTGCCAATTTGATTGGTATTTATTGTAATTTATGTAAAATTTGCCTCCGCACCATTCAGTTCTGAATTGTTTATTTAAACCAAGGTCCTAGTTCCGATTAACGTTTCTGTATGACGCATAATCATTTAAAAATCTAAGGAGATACAATAAAACCAATGGCTTTAAAGGGAGTGAAAAATTATGGTTCTATTATATTTCGTAATGCTAGCTCTTATCTTGAGGCCTTATACTAAAGTTATGTTTGGATACAAGTTAGAATGTTTGGATACGAGTTAGAAATATTTGGATACAAGTTCGAAGTGTTTTTTAAAAAAATTATACTAAAAATAAGTTATTTTTTGTAAATAAGCTCCCAAAAAAGTTTATAAGCTTGTATTCAAACAAGCTCTAAATGAAACCATCTTTGGAGAGCTATAGGAACTCGCTTTTTAGTTTTGGAATTATGGTTATTACTTATTACATGGATTTGTCTGTGTGTTTCTTAATTGGAGTCGTGGGTATTTGCATTGCAGGTACCTTGGGAGAGTCGGGTATTGGTATTTGCATAAATATTAAGTCCATAGCCTGATGAATTGCTGCTAGGGTCAAGGGTTTGCCATCGTTTGAGGGGCGCCCTTTGCAAATTCCTGGGGAAATGAGGCACCATCAACTTTCTGGTTTTGGTCCTAATGCGTCTCATCGTTCTCTGGAGTCCCTCTCTCCTCATCAGCTGTTGGAGAATAAAATTGCTGCTCAGGAAGCAGAAATAGAGCACCTTGTAGCGGATAACCGGACATTGTCAAGTTCACATGTGGCCTTAAGAGAGGCGCTTGTTGGTGCTGCGCAGGATGTGCAAAAGCTGAAGTCACACATGAGAAGCCTCCAGACTGAAAGTGACATTCAGATCAGAGTTCTACTAGATAAGATAGCAAAAGGAGAGGTTGATATTAGAGCCAGTGATAGTGTGAAGAAGGATCTAAGACAGGCTCATATTGAGGCACAGAGCTTGGCAGCTTCCAGGCAGGAACTGGGTGTCCAAATTCAACAGGCGACTCAGGAATTGAAGAAGGTCCATGGTGATGTGAAGAGTATTCCGGATTTGCAGGCTGAACTGGACAGTTTAGTTGAGGAACACCAGAGGTTACGGTTAGTACTGAAGTCTGTTGTATGGTTATTTTCATCTGCATGTGTATCAGAACTGATACCCAACTTTTTAGGGTATTTAGTTAATTTTGTTGTGGCAAGGCCTAAACTGCCTTTTTGGAAACTAGGATTTTGATAGAACATATTGGCATCAATTGATTGTGTAGCCCATCCTACCTCATGGGAAAAAAGGCTTTTATTGTTGTTGATATAACAAATCAATGGTATACAGCCATACGCTAATGTTCTATAAGCCAAAGCTGCATATTTTATACAGCCACTATAACAAATAAGGTGTGAAAAATGAAGGAAAAATCATAGAAATTTATTTATGTTGGTTTTTTTCTCCAGCAATTGCCCTAATTGATAGCTTATATAGAACCCACATACTGCTGATAAGAACTGTTCCTTTCATTCCACTATGTTATGTCAAGTCTGTTTAGGTTATGAAAATGTTTTCTGTTTTCATTTGTTTTCATAAATTATTACAAAAATGTCACTATATTTTAATTTTGATTCTTGTACTCACTGTTCCTGTAAATAGAAAATGAAATTAGGGTGGCATTTGTAATTATTTATGATAACAAGAAATGAAAATAGAAAATGTTTTCTCAAGCCAAACAAGGCATAAACTTGATGGGATCTGATTGCATTTAAGATAAGGCATGTTATCTTTGAAGTGGGTATCATGAGTGGCATTTTACTACATGTCTCATATTTTATTATCATTATATATTTAAGGTGAGACTGCCATACAATGGAATGAAAATTAGTTCAACTTCCTGAATCATATGACTGATACGAGTATGTACTTAAGGTGTTTTGAAAATCTATCAAATCATGCTTTAACTCAGGATTTGCTATTCATGGCCTCATGGGTGCCATTATATGCTTAAATTCTTAAATATTTGGTATTCCTTCACATCTTGTTGTATATATTCTTTGTTGCAGTTTTAATTATCTCTTTTTCCTGGTAACTTCTCTTGTAATTCTTTAAATCTGGTTGGGTATTAGTGCGGCATTCGAATATGAAAAGAACAAAAACATAGAGCTGGTGGATTACATGAAAGCAAAAGAGCAGAATCTAATAGCGATGGCAAGAGAAGTTGAAATGTTAAGAGCTGAGATTTTGAATGTCAAGAAAAGAGTAAATGGTAAGTTTCTTGCTTCATTATGTCATAGTCTTTTCTTGTGATACTTTTATACACATGTATCTGATTCATTCTTACTATGGAAACAGCACCTAATCTGTTTGGGGCTCCTAGTCCTGTAGACAGCAGTGGTCCCTTTCTTGATGCTTACGGGAGAGCTCATGGTCAGATGACTGCTGGCCAAGTAGGAGAGGGCTTGGTACCAGTTGGTGAGAGCAATGGAGTAGCAGCTGTCAATAGTGCTGGTGGTAGTGGTGCTCATCGGTCAAGTTCATATGATCCCTTAGTAGCTCGGAGGTGAAGTTTAACGACAGTTAATCAGATGCAGCTTGACTTCAGCTTTTGCTGGTAAAATGTATGGGAACTGATGGTTTTTTTCTATGTAAATCTCACAGATTAGGTGGCTTTATTTGTAGCTCCTTTCCGTTTAATGGATACAATTTTTGTGAATTGTTGAATCAAATATGCAAATTGAAGAGGCCTATGATCTCTCTCTCAAACAAAACTAATGGTAGAATGAATTGAAAATCTGATCAAGATGGCCTATTTAATGAGCTATATGATATTGTTCTCAATTTTTTTATCCTAGAGAGCGGAGTCCTATTTTTCAGAGTGAATACGAAACATGCTCGCGTTTTGTTTCCCATCCAACGTGACGACAGTATGAAACCTTTTGCAAATCACTATTGATGCTAGTAAGCGAACTCAAAATATTTCCAATTGTTGGCAGGCATAAAACTTTTTTTTTATAGATAAATTGTATTTGTACAGTTTTTTTTTTGTACAGAAGAGATGATTAGTGAAGTTGTGTTTTATAAATTAATATTGTTCATACATTGTATTTTTTTCTTCAGAAACATAATAGGATTTGAAACCCTTCTTCCTTGACCATTCGATAAAAAGTTACCTCTATGTTGATCCTTCACACTACAGATTTTTTTTCCTGTGTTCTGTCATTTGTTATGTTTTTTTTTCCTATTAATTTCACCATCATCTTTCATTTTTTGACTTCATTACTATGTTCTTATTGCTCCTAGATTGATGGTGATTATGTATGTAAACTATGGCATTATTTATCTTGAATTTTGTTTAGTTCGATTTCTTTTTGATTTAAGTATTTATATGTGTAGTATAAATTATTTAGTCTGTATTATAATGTTAAAAGTAGTGGCTATCGTGCTATAATATTTTCAGATCTGGACACTATGTGCCGCTATTCGAAATTGATAACTGTCAAGAACATGGTAGCTCGAAACTAAGTTTAAATACTTTGCACTGGCAAGATTTTATTAACATAATCTGAACTAGTGAAATTGGTTGAGTGATTTTTTTGTTTTTGATATATTTTCCAATACTGTCATATATCAGTCTTCTGAACCTATATTACCTACAAGTCTAACATTTATTTGTGTATGTAGGTGTTTGCTTTTTTTGTTGGGATTTAGGAAAATGAATTTGCCTGGCATACATTGTTTAATCATCAAAATGCCTGCCCTTCTACGTAATCTTTGGACATTCCTAGAATTGCTTATATATTTTCCCCACCTGTGCATAAAGCAAGTTATATATCTAATTTTCTCAAAATTTGAAAGATTGGTGTCAAACCACATGAAGGTTGTTAGTTACCACACAAAGATATGCCAACCATTTTGCAATACAGCATCATCACTAAGTCAAAGTATCAAACCGCAACGACAGATTATATCGAGGTTTTTTTTTTTTTTTTTTGATTCAGTAATCTCGATAGGATGGATTAGCATTTCTCTGTTTTAAAATTTGTGTGGAGTGTGGACTAAATTTTGGCAGGTTGACAGATGGAATGAACAGAGGGAAAGTGGGACTTTTCCAGGACCTCTTTGAAATCATGTGTCGCTTGAATATCCTTCTAATGCATGAGAAGTCTTGAACATTTTGTTGGGTTTCTTTCTTCAGTTATATTTGGTTGAGTCATTGTGAATAAGGCAGTTTGTGGATATTCATTACGTCAAAATGCCTGGAGTCATTTTGCTTTTGAAGTTGATATAATTGTTCTGTGGTGCTTTCTTCGTTCAAAGCATTGAATTTGATATTAATCTGCAAACTCTATTCCATATTTGACTCTTTTTTATTTCAATCTTTCCTAAATGTATCACTTCAACCTAATTAAACAAAGAATTAAATAAATAGTAACTAACGGAACCTTAAAAAAAGTGAATGACAATTTTAGTGCAAGGGTCTGCCTTTATGAAAAATCTCAACCAGTTTATAACACTATGTTTTGGAAAATAAAAGAAATAAAATAGCAACAAATAAAGAAGAAAAAAAATAAAGACGAATTTTAAGTAAAAATATTTCGAAGCGGCGGTTTAATGGTTGTTTAATTTTATTTAGCCAGTAAAAAAAATAGATTTTTTTGTAGTGTTTTACTTCCTTGATAGTAACACTCCGTCTATTTTTTTTAATCCGTTGAAATTTTTGTAAAATTTTATTTCTATTTATTTATCATTTTTAAATTTCAAGATAATATTAATTATTATATTATCAATTATAATTTTATATTTTATCCAACTTTTAATTTACACGTAATAACTAATATGTATTTATTTTAAAAAGAAAAAAAGAATATAATAGGAAACATCAAAATAAAAATAGGAAAATTTATTATATTTTTTAGTTTGTGTAAAATAAATTTTTAATATATCAAATTTTAATATTATAAAGGAACATAAGTAATAATTTTTAATATATCAATTTGTTTTATTTTAATTTAAAAATTAATTTTGGAAAAATAACTATACATATAAAGTATTGTGATTTTAATAGGGTATATACGGTAAAAAGAATGAAACATGAAATAAAAAGATGAGAGTGTACATGTAAAAGATATTTTGATATTCAATTATGTTTTATGTTAACTTGGTATTTGAAAGATGATGGGTTATTACTTACAAGGGAGAGATGCCATCTAACATTTATTACTTTTGCGCTTTTATACCCGCATGAGTCTTTCGTCATTCAATAAAAAACAAATAATTGACATATTTTTTTCTAATATTTCTTAATTATTAGAGTAAATTACATTTTCTTCTCTTAAAAGATTTGAATATTATACTACTTTCTTATCTTCTGTTAACAATTACAATCTCTCTCAACAAATTTCAATATATGACACTTATTTTGTGTATCTCTATGCTTAGATGAGTTGTTAAAGTCTCTAGTCAAAAGTTCAATTGGCCCTAAAAGGAAAATGTATATTTTTCTAACCAAGGGTCCAATTGCCCCTAAGAGAAAAATGTATATAAAGTTTCCATTTTGAACAAAGCTTCATAAACTGTTGTTTTTCAAACCTTAAAGAGAGGTTTTAGAGAGCCAGAGTCTAACTCCCTAAAACTTCTCTCCTCCTTTTATTCTTTCAAATCCTTCTTGAGGGTGGGTGTGTCCGTGGAGGCAATGATTCAAAGCTAAAGCTAGGAATCTTTGGTGTGGAGCTTGTCTTCTTTGAGCTTGGAGTGCTTCTTCCTTCCCCTTCCTCTTCTTTGGTTTTGATTGGCTTGAAGTTGAGGTGAGGGAAGCTAGGACCGTTCATTCTATTTGAGATGTGTGGGTTATACTTGAATAGAAATGAAGAATGAGAGTGGGTATGTTAGTGAACTACATGATTTTGGTTAAGAATGTGGAACTTGAATGGGTTGGTTCATGAAGGTGAAATTAGAGGATTCAATTGATTTTTGGTTACATGTAGTTTTTGATGCCAAAACTGAGTAATGGGTGTTATAAATGTATGATATGATACTTTGCATGCTTTGGATTTCCTGATTTTCAGATACTTGGTGAAATTTGTGAAGTTTGCATTTGCCAATTTTTGGTGACATGCTAGACATGCCTTCGTGGCATTAGGTGCAATTCTAACCAGGGGTTTCTGACTTGTTCACATCGAATGCATGATTGATGGCACCAAACATGAGGAAAAAGACTCGTCTTAAGTTAGGATGACGTCGGACGTGATCTGAGAGTAAGGAAAAATCTCTAACTTAGTGACGCTAGACCCTAGTTGCTAGACCCTAGTTGAGTGATGTTAAGCATGATCAAGGTAGAGACTCCTTGTTTGGACAACATTGAGTGCCATTAAGGTTGTGCTAATTGAGAGTCAGGAAAAGGCTTTTTGTTTGATATAAGATCAAGCGTGAGTTTTGCCACGCCAAGCATGAGGTCCCATGAGGGTCTCTACTTCAGTCACGCTAGATGCAATTGGATGACGTCAGGTGTGAGCGAGGTAAAAGTCCCCTACCTCGATGGCATTAGACATGAGGCATGTTGCATCAGACGTAAGATGCCTGAATGGAAGGTGTGTTTTTAGAATGTTGTATGATGAACATGAGTAGATGTATGAGTTTTATTGCATGTTAAATGAAGTATGAAAATTGTAGTTCTATGTTTTTTGATTAGATATGACATATGTAAATGTTTATATGGTATTGGATGATGATGAGCATACGTATGATGTATATATGCATGATGTTATTGATTTGTATATATATTGACTAGGCATGGCAATCTAACCCGCCCCCGTGGGTACCCGCCCGAACCCGCCCCGATTTGGATGGGAAAAACCCGTGTTTATCGGGTTCGGGTTCGGGTTCGGGTTTTCCCCGATTGATAAAATCGGGAGCGGGGCGGGGGCGGGGATGTTAATACCCACCCCGTCCCCGTCCCCATACCCGCCCCCACCCCCGCCCCGCTTAATAATATAATTAAAAAATTATTTTTATATATATAAACCAAAATTATAAATATTTATATGTAAAAATTTATATTATATTTATTTTAATTTTTTATATTTTTTAAAAAAAAAGTCCAGTGATGATGGGAGTTGAGTGGGAAAACCCGAACTCTATCAAAAAATAAGAAAGAGTACCCAGCTTTTATCTCCAGCAAATTTCAGAGATAAAAACGGTTTAATTTGGCTCGTCTCGTTGCCGCCTATATATATCTAACGACTAAAAACCTATTTTAGTCCCTTATAATAATTGTTTGTTTCAATTTAGTCCCACTTTTATTTTTTGTCTCAAATTGGTCCCTAATAAATTAATTGGTTGCAATGTCAGACTTCCGTCCAAATTATTTAAACGGGGTTAACTGTTGGCCACGTGGATGCCACGTAGATGCATAGGTGGATGCCACGTGGATGCCAAATTTTTTGAAAACACCTGGAACCAGAACGGCCCATTCTGAAACTAGAACGGCCCGTTCTGGGTACACTCTTGGTGTGTTAATTTTGCATTCCGAACGACCCATTCCAACGTAAAACCCGCCCCCGCCCCGCCCCGTTGCCATGCCTAATATTGACTGGATGTGATGTATATAGATGATGTATGGTGAGGTGATAATGTTGAGAATGTGGTATGATACTAAGGCATTTTGGCTAACTTAGGACTTAGGAGAGAAAATTGTTTTTTTGAAAAATAATGGTCACACATAGGGAATCTTCAAGTAGTGCTCAGGTTGGTCACTATTGGAAAACTCTCCTCAAGTAGGTCTGTCTCTTAGAGTGGGTTTTGAGGTGTATTGAGTTTTTTCTAGGTCCTTGATTAGTGATTGAGTAAGATAGGAGGTCGAGGGCTACAACCCTTAACTAAATACCTATAAAGGTTGCGTGGTTCTTTGAGGATGACTAGTGCACTAACTTCATATGTGACTTGATAATGCATATCAAGATCGTGGTGTGCCTATACCTAAATGCACTAATCCTAATGATGGAATCAAACTTTCTTAGTGTTAGTGGCAAAATCCGAAAAATCATGTTGTTGGGATCGGTGATCAAATTCGGTTGATGGTCTATCTATTCTAGAGATGATCATGTTGATAGGTCTATCTAGTCTAAAGATGATTGGGTTGATTTGATAAAGTCGAGTCACTTAGACTACTTTATTGCGTTATGAGATCTTTGTAGGTAAATATATGATGACGCATTATTTGAGATGTATACATATGATGTAAGTTGTGGTGTATTCATGTGCGATGTTGGATGTCTTGTTAGACATGGTTTGAGTGAGATATATGTTAACTTTGGAGTGTTTAACTTTCATATATGTTTGTGGTATAATATTGTACAATATAAAATAGTGTGATTGTACTACTGGAGCAGCTTCTATAGATATGCTTAATTGGTACTAGGACACTAAATTACTATATATATATATATATATATATATATATATATATATATAATGTGAGTTTTTTCACCAGGTAAGTTGTAAGGTAACACTAAATATTGACCATTATATATTATTTATTATATAAAAAAACTTGTCTTAATTTAAATATGACCGGCTGAAATACTAGAAATTTTCCATTTGGATACCTGCGGCTTATAGAGAGAAAGATTGATTCTGTAAGGCAGGGTTGCGTATTTAATTATTTATGTTTGTCACTTTTGTTCCTCAATTGCAATTGCCAACCACCGAACATGCCGCGTTATTTGAACTTAATTAGTAATATAGAATTTGAATTTTAAATATATAACTATATTAAATAGTTATTAATTTGTCTGCCACAGAAAATTCCAAACTGGCTCCACTGCACTGGTGAGAATAAGTGCTAATCCATTATAACTGCAGTGCTATTCCATTAACATAAAAATGTAGGTATAATTGAACAGTCCATGGTATCATGTGCTTTTAGCCATGACCATATCTAACATTTGAAGAGTGATATAGTAACGGAAGAAAATAAACAAAGGAAGAAGGGGTGAATGGAACTACAATTTTTAAAATATTTTTTTTTTAAATAAAGTGAAAAGACATAAGATTTTTTTTTGAAATAAACTGATATAGGGTACATCTATTAATAAGAGGTTTATATAATATTTGCCATATTTAAAATGACATGCTCAAACCAACGTACAGACATGCCAAGTGCCACCTTCAATTATCCTTCAGAGCCGGCGGCAGCGACATCTGTCTACCAAGGATACCACTTACTTGAAAATAATGGATTTGTGTCTTTTAAAGAAAATTAGTTGTTAATATTTTAATTATTTAAACATTACTATGCATGCAATTGTAACATTGATATTTATTTTATGCTTAAATATATTTTTAATCTTTTAAATTCAGGATAAATTTATTTTTAGTTTTATAAATTTAAAATTAATCTTTTTAGTCTTTATAATTTTAAAAAAATTTATTTTGATTCTTATATTTAAATTTTATTATTATTGTATAAAATTTATCTAGTAAGAATATCATATTAAATCTAATTAATGTTTCATAACTATTTTAATTTGTTACTTTCAGATATGTTATTGGTAAGTTGAAGGACTAAAATAAAATTTTTGAAAATTACAGACATTATAATTAATGATTTTAAACCAAAAATAATTTATCTTAAATTTGAGATCAAAAATATATTTAAACCTTTATTTTATCAATAATTAAGATAATTTATTTAATCTTTTAAAGCGTGTTACTTAATTTAAAAAGAGTCAAATTGCAAAAAAAAAAAAAATGTATTGGGTTCACTAACATGTTAATCTTGGGCTTTTGTTATTCTAGTGCACGAATCTAACTAGATTGATCTGTCATCAACTCCATCAAGAGAAATAGAGTGGGACCGCTATTCGTCTTGCAAACTAGGGATGCTTTGTACACTGTTCGTCTGATTGCAGAGAAATTATTAGTTGTTTAGAATTATTAATATATCACATATATTTAAAATTTTATTTTATAAAAATAATTTAATAACATTTAATTATATGTTATATAACATTTATGTGATCTACCGTTACATAATATTTTCTTTTTGGTTGTGGATGGGATCTGATTAAAATTGGCATTTTCATATCAGTTAAAATTTAATTAATAAAAAAGTGATTTTTATTATACAATAATGAGTCTATTTTTTAGAATATAAAAAAATTATTTATAAACACGTTGCTTTTAAAGAAACCAATTCTTTAAAAACAGATAATAATTATTTCTTAAAATAAGAAAAAATATGCTTATTTTGTTTAAAAAAATAAAGTTTAAAAAACTCATAAAAACGCTTTATTTATTTATTTATTAAAAAACCTCTTTTATAAAAAAAATAACAAATAAACTCAATAACATATAGATAGTGTAAAATATTTATTTAACTGACATTAAATGTTATGTCCGCAAAGTATCAACAAATAAAAAGAGGTTAGTAATAACTTTTTTTACAAAATCTTTTGAATAACGTTTTAATATTAACTAAAATTGCTTAGAAAAATATAAAAATGTGCAAATTTTGTACTTTATGATTTTATAATTTTAATAAAATTTAATTAATACAAAAGATGTTAAAAATATATTACAATCACTCTTATAATAAATTTTCATTTTATAAGTTTTATTATCTCTATTTTTTTTTTTCATTCATCCTTATTTGACTATAGGAAGTGAATTTGGCTCTCGTATTAAATAAAATCTATTTGGTGATGATGCATTGTATCAGACGTATTCCGCACGATGCACTAATTTCTAAAGCACCCTAGCGGTCAACCCACAGATAATGACTTAGAGCAATTGGTAAAATTTCTATTAATTTTAGTTTATTAAACTCCGCGTGTTTTGTGGTCAGAGATACATTAATGTCTTGTCAATTACTGCTTCTATAGGGTACAAGCATCTTCATTCATCCCATGAAGAATAATTGGTAAGGGGAGTAAATTTTGTGAAGAAATTGCATTACTTTCGTACTTATAAGTCAAACCCGAATGAATCAATTTCATTTGCCATTCAATAAACTAAACGTATGAAAACATCTCATCATTATTTTTTGTTATGGTGCCTTTCTGAGGCAGTTGAAGTTGGTGACCTATTCTTCTTCTTGAAAAAAAATCTCACGAATTGCGTAGTGAAAATGAAAAGGAACATAATAAGAAATTTCCAAACTGTTTTATGAAAAACAAAAGAATTTATTACATTTTTGTTATAAAAGCCTTAAATAAATATAAGAAAAATGAAAAATTAGCCTTATATGTCGATTACGTAAAACACTTTTACTTTGTTATTTAATCATAAATTCACCAATTATTGACTATTAGGATTAGTTTAGTGGTTGAGTTGGAAAGGGTTGGGTTGGGTGAAGAACTAGATTCAATTCTTATTGCGATTATTTTTATAATTTTTTTTATCTTTATAAAAAAAAATTCACCAACTATCATGTCCGATAAAATGACTAAATTATATTGTTGGTACTTTATTTTTAAAATTTATCATAAATTGGATAATTAATTTATGATAATATAAGATGTATTTGGAAAGGCAATGTATTGAAAGGTTGAAATGGAAGAAAGGCACGGGCACAGCCCATGGGAGCAGTTTAAGGAAAAAAGAAAAACAAGAAACGTCTCTTGTTGGGGGTAATGAAAGAAATGGGTATAAGCGTGTGAAATAATTTCTCTCTTATCTCAGAATTCACAACAGACAGATATATAGACACACACACACGGAAACAACCCTTCAATCTTCATCATATTCATATACAATCTCTCTCTTTCTATCTGTTGAAACGGTGTCGTGTTGAGCATGGTTCGGTTCAGCAACAACGTGATCGGGCTCTTGAACTTCCTGACCCTCCTCCTGTCGATCCCGGTGTTGGTGGGAGGAGTGTGGCTGAGCAAGCAGGGGAGCAGCGAGTGCGAGCGGTGGCTGGAGAAGCCGGTGATCGCGCTGGGCGTGTTCCTGATGGTGGTGTCGATCGCGGGGCTGGTGGGCGCGTGCTGCCGCGTGTCGTGGCTCCTCTGGGTCTACCTCCTCGTCATGTTTCTGCTCATCGTTCTCCTCTTCGCCTTCACCATCTTCGCCTTTGTTGTTACCAACAAGGGCGCCGGCGAAGCCGTCTCGGGGAGAGGCTACAAGGAGTACAGGCTCGGGGATTACTCTAATTGGCTGCAGAAGAGGGTTGACAACCCCAACACCTGGAACAGGATCAAGAGCTGCTTGAACTCTGGCAAGCTTTGCTCTGAATTCCGTGATAAGTTTATCAACGACACCGTCACTCAGTTTTACACCGAGAACCTCTCCGCGCTTCAGGTTTCTTCCTTTCTTCTCAAAATTACTGCTTCTTTCTGCGGATCTCTTTTCTACAATTTACAATTGGGGTTTTTTTAATTTAGTATCCAATTCAAACACAACGGGATCGCCCTTTTGCTTGTCCATGGGGAAGATCTAAACTCTTTTTTTTTTTTTTTTTTTTGTATCTTGATAATCTGGGTGTCTTAATTAGGTCATTAATTTTTTTATGGAGCTGTTTTTGTGTGATTTTTGAATTCAAACTGGGGTTCCAGTTCTAAGTTTTGATTGTTGAGAATTTAATGGTTGTCTTAATTAGACCGTAGAGTTATGGTTGAGCTTGAGTTTTGTTTGAAACTGAAATACTTGCATGATGATGGTATCTGTGCCCTTTGGCCCCACCCCTTTTAACTTTTTTTGTCTCCTTGCTCTTCTAACGTGATTTTCAATTCAAGTAGTTTTATGGGAAAAAGTGAGCATTCTGCATTCGTCGGATCAATTTTGTGAGTTTGGTGTACTGGTATTTTATATAGTATTTATGAGTAGTAAAGGTTGGGCTCTTTTCGAAAGGGGGACTTTTTAACTTGGATAGCCTTGCATCTGAAAAGGCTGTCTTCTACTTTGTTTTCTATTTCCCAATGTATTTTTTGTCGGACTTTATGGCGTTCTTGTATTTCATTTTTTTTTTTAATATGACTAATGGATGATGCTACTGCTGCTGCCCACTGAGCTAAAAGTTCACTTTTTTTTACATCTTTTTGCTCTTCAACCTGCATGAATCAGGGTGCACTTCTCTTTCCAATAAAGTAATACAAGTAGTATTTGGAAGGGTCTTGGTGTATGTTTGGTTTTCCGGAAAACACAATTTTTTATTAACGGAAAAGATAGAAAATGTTCTTGGTTAGTGTTTTGAAATGTGTGATATTTCCGTTTAACTCGATCAGAAAACAAAGTGAGATTTTTATGTGTCTATTATTCCGCTAAGAGTATTTCCACCATTTAATTTGCTTGGGTACAGTGGGATCCACATACTTGGTGGCATCTCATGGTCTATATTATCTCGATAAGGGAAATATCTGCCTTCAAGACAAGACTTTTCCATATCCTTTTGATATTGAGTTACAGTTATACACCTTACATTTATTTGTTTAATGTATTAGAATAAATGGAAATATAACTGTTGAGGTATACACTTTCCTGAATGGATATCTTACTATTGAATTTGTCTGTGTGACAGACAAAACACACAAGTACGGATGCTTTTAGTGATACGTCTTGTTATTAACTTGTTTCCTTATAGTGATGCCTTTGGTTTATAAATGTTAGACACCTTATGGATTTGAATTTGTTGGATGTGTGTTTGTGCAGTCTGGATGCTGTAAGCCTTCAGATGATTGTCATTTTACGTATGAGGGTCCAACAAACTGGACAAAGAGCACAACTCCATACACCAACACTGACTGTGATTCTTGGAATAATGACCCCAACATTTTGTGCTTCAATTGTCAATCATGCAAGGCTGGCTTACTGCAAAACCTCAAGACTGATTGGAAGAAGGTGGCCGTTGTGAACATTGTTGTCTTGGTGTTCCTCATTCTTGTGTACTCCATAGGTTGTTGTGCATTCAGGAATAACAGGAGTGACAATTGGAAGAGATATTAGGATCATTAGATTCAGTATTATTAGCCTGTGTAGATGAGTTTGCTAGGCCATATGAAGTGCTGGATTTTTTATTTTTTTATAATGGGCTTTATATATGCTGTACTTATACTGTTTGCAGTACAGTCTGTTATGTAAATTGCTCACTTTCCTAATTCCTAGTATCATCTGTACGTAGATATTTCTGGACACTGCATTTCCTTCTGTTTCAATTCAACACCTTATATAGTCCAGTGCTGATTGCTAAATAATCACCCTCTACGTCATTGGTGCTCTAGAAGAGTTTTATTCTATTTTTTTAATTCCTTTAATTTATACTACTTTTGTGAATTTGAATTTTCAACTTTTTTAATTTATTCAAATTTTTATATTTATTTAAAACTCAAGTTTGTATTTTTTCTACTTGTTTTTTTTTTAATAAATTAATTTCATTAAAAAAAATTTAGTTAAAAACTATTAACCAAAACATCAAATTTCACTTGAGATTTTAAAAATCTCAAAATTTATCAATGCAAAACTAGGTTTCACATCTTATAATATTTATTAATTCTTTTAAATTATTTTTACTTTTAAACCTTTGAAATTATTTTATATTTTAATTCTATCATAAGCAACTAATGATTTGGGATAAGGGTGTTCTTGAGTCAGATTTTTAAAAAATTTAAATTGAATCTATTCATTTTATAAAAATAGATAAGTTAATTGATACATTTTTTATAAAAGTAGATTGGTTTAATTTGTTAAAAATATGGATTGAATTTTTTAAAGTAGATTCATTCCTTGAGATGCGATTATTCACTTTATATTTAAATATGAATCATTTTTTGAAATTTTTTTTTTGAATCTAATCAAATTGATTTATTTTGTAAAAATGGATTCTGAACTAGTTTTACAAAATAGATTGATTCAAATTTTTCTTAAAATAGATCAAATTTTTTGATATTGATCTAATTGGTTTGGATTTTTTGCGTACTTCTAATTTGGAAAATCAGAGCTATTATTGTATTAATAAAATGATTTTTAAATAACTCACAAATTAATAGATAAAAAAATAGAAAATGGATAAAAAAAATTCACATGAACTAGTAAAGTTTATTTTTATTTGTGAAATTAGTAACAACAATATATACTATAAAATAGGAAGAGTTTGAGTAGACAATTGAGTTGAAAAAAAATAATTAAAACAATGAACAAATTCAAAGAAACAAATGTAATTCAATAATAAAAAAAATCAAGCTTAAGGTGTGATCTCTGTTAATTTTTTAAGGTGATCATTGGTTTTTTTTTTTTTTTCAGTTTAGACGAAATAATTTTAATTATTAATAAGCTCTAGATCAAACAAAGAAAACAAATGTAAGTCAATATTTTTTAGTGCTCCTTCATAAATGGGCCCTGAGCTCCTCCGGCCCGTACTCAAGCTACCACTGGAATTGATTATATACATGGGCCTGTGGTGAATATGGCGGTAAAAAATAATGACTAGATCTAAGAGTAGAAAGCTATTTTTCTTAATAATTTTATTTTATTTATTCACTTTTTTTTTTTTCCGAATCAAACAACCTCATAAATTAATTTTCACTCTACTTCTCTTAAATCAAACAACTCATACTTTCATTTTATTTGTTATCTATTCCTCTCTTCTTTATTTCTGCAACTTACACTTCTTTCATTTCTTTCCTCTAGGGCCATACAATTTTCTTTAAATAGTTTGATTATTTGATTCAATCCTTAGTATCTTTTATGTTAATTTCCAGTGGTTTTATCTTATCCTTAAGCAGCTAAAAGTTTCTAAGTCAAGTTTTTATGGTTTAGCTTTGGCGGTACGATTTTAATTTTCCTAATTTGAATATTAATATTTTTTTGCTTATAAAAGAATGTGACATCTCTTTTGTTTCTTCTTGGGCACTATCTCTTTCTCCTCCACTGAGAGACTATGTGAAGAAATTCGTTTTGTCATCTCAATTCTTTTGTATCTTTCACAATTTAAAACTGTATTGCGAGTTGTGACACACCACCTCGTACTATTTCTTCTATTCCAACGCCTTTTATTTTCAGTGAAGATTCCCCTCAGCAAAACGTAATTGATGGTCCAAAAGATTTGTGTTATCCGTTCGAAATATGGATGAATAGATGGGAACGGATATTCTAAGCAGTAACATTATCATTACATGGATCTTAACTATTTATTAAATTAATTTTATGTAGCACTTTACCATTACATGGATCGCATTAAAGGATTTTCTTTGGGGTGATCGAAGGTGTGTTAGTGGTGAAAGGCTATGTCATTATCAATATTCAATATTCATACTAGTGTTGAATTACTGATGTCGGAGCTCATTGGCCGTCTTTTGGATAAGGAAATATTCGTTTCCACTCTTCGATTAGTGAAATTAGACTATAGTTTGCCGTGGTCCAGCACGCATGCGTCTCGTGAATGATATACATAACATTATTCAAGTCATTTTTTCCCTTCTTTGTCCTTTAGATACTATAATATTTATGTATCTATATACTATTTTTACCTTTTCTGTTTCTCTCATTTTATCAAATTAGTCACTAATTGGTCGTCTACTATGTGACATTGTCACATAGGACTTATTTTTTCTTCCTTTCTTTAACATATCACACGTATATCTTATCGAAGATTTTTTTTTTTGTCCTTCCTTTCTTTTAGATATTACATAATTCTATTAAGTCAACTGAGATATTATTATGTATAATAAAATTCTCTTTTTAAACATTTAACATGACTAAATATTCAAGAGTTCAACTTAAGATTCATAGTTAAATTAAAACAACACCATGCCAAATGACCCACTTAGAAGTAGGACTTGGTGTGTTTGGATAATATTGTGAATCTTTTCAATTAAATCAATTTAGTTAAAGTTTTAAAAATAGTAATTATTATTAATAATTTGTATGCAAAAGAAAAATAATTTTGTAATAAACAAATCTAATTAAAATATATTCATAGTATAAGAAACTTTATATTTTATCTAATTGCATATTGTTATGGAATAATGTATGGAAATTTTATTTATTTTTATAATAATTATCTTAAAATTCGTGTTTAAAATAATTTCTGAATGATCCATAATATTAAAAAGTTTACACCAATGATACATTAAAAATAAAACTCTTACATAAATCAAGAAAAATTGTGTTTGATATATACAACTTAGTCACAAGAATAAGAAAATTATTACATAAAGTCGCCGTATACGTGTAAACAACTTAAAATAATAAACATTAAAATACAAAATTTAATGGAATATATATATAAAAATTTAATGAAATATATATATATATATATATATATATATATATATATATATATATTAATTCTATTGGAATTTATATATTTGATATTAAAACAATTATTAGTCTCAACTAGGGATGGCAATGGGACCCCATAGGGGCGGGTAATAGTAAACCCGCCCCCGCCCCGCTAAATAAAAATTGGCCCCATACCCACCCCATATCCGTGCGGGTATCCATTAAGCGGGTATCCATGAATTTTTTGAATACCCACGGATATCCACGGATATTCATGGATATTTACAAAAATTTTAAGAAATTAAAAAAATTATATTACAAATAATTTTAAGTTTATATTTTAATGTCATTGAAATATTAAAAATAAAAATTCAATGTTAATTTTGAACTTTTATTTAACGTTAATTTTGTTGAAATAATAATAATAATTCAAGATAATTAATAACTTAAAATACATCAATCTCACAAGTAAGTTAAAATCTCATCACAAAACTACAATAATTAAATCTCATAATTCCAAATGAAAGTAAATAACTTAAAATACATAAATCTTATTGGTCCAATCAAAGCTATAAAATTAATCAAATTACATCTAACATAATTTTATAACATGCTTAACACATGTCGGTAACTTCATTAACCTCACTTTTGTAAGAAAATAAGATGAGAAAGTGTAGTTTTAGGGTTATGTCGTACAAGAATAATTAGGATATTTAAGAAATAATATTAAACGGGTACCCGCAAGTATGAATATCATCATACTCGCCCCCGCCCCATTTATAAACGGGTAAAAAATTATCCGTTCCCATTATCCGCGAGTACCCAGTTAGCCTATTCATTTATTATCCGTAGCGAATTTTATCCACAAATACTCGCGGGTACGAGTATTTTTGCCATCCCTAGTCTCAACTTCATGCTCCCTTTTGTCACGTATAATTAACTTTAATCCACTTTTGGGAAATAACCCGTGAAATAGTGATACATTATTGTAGGGAGGACACGAGTGCAAACCAATTCAATGATCATATGAAGCTGAACTTAATTAATGAAACGAAAAAATTTGGATCGGTTCTCACTATCGAATTGGTTTGAATTAAAAAAATTGCAAATTCAATTAGTTTAGTTTAAATATTGATTTTTGATTTTTCATGAATCAAATTAAATCAATCAATCTAATTCAAGAAACATTTATTATTATTTTTATTTTATTATCATATTTAGTTTAGATCGTGAAATCTGGACTTTTAGTAAAAGATAAATCTATTCAAATATGAGAATTTCTCGTTTACATTTCACTATATTTTAAATTTGATTAGTTTGTTGACTTTGTTCACTTATATTGCATAAAAGAAAACGTAGATTTGTAGATTTTGTGGTGGTGACTTGCCACTTGATAAATTTTATTTTGAGTATGACAAATTTAACTTTAATTTAATGGCGCTATTTTTTTTTATTTTAAGTTTTGTTATGCTGAGTATTTTAAATAAGCTGATTTATAATATTAATAAATAAATTTATAATATAAAATATTTTATTTAAGTAAAATCAAACCACTCCAAAATAATTAAAGTTGATTGGATCATATAAAAGTATGTTTCAAATCTAATCTAATTCTTCTCCATTCCACGACAATGAAACTTTTTTAATACCTTATTTTGTTCTTTTATATATTTAGTTGTATGTTGTTTAGATTGCAATTTCTATGAAAAGAGGCTACCGAACGGTGATAATTCCTACTGCACATGGGATACTAGACAAACTCCTTCACAAAGGTCGGAAACTTCATACTCACACTTTTGTAAGCACTTTCTACCTGAGCATATGGCTTCCGAGCATGGGATTGCTGCTGGGTATGACTACTTCTTGGCCATATTTTCTTGCTTTTCTTAGGATTAGTGTAATTAGTTTCAATTCGTAGTTAGTTTAATCCTGATATTGTAATTGGATCTTTATGCGAAATGAACTATGATTTGTA